TCTGGTGGAATGGGCGTTGAAGTCTCCTAATACTATAGTTTTGTGTGAGATGTTCAGAAAGTCAAAGTTTGGACAATTCTGGGGTGGATTATAAACTGCGTATATCTTGAGGTGGTTTCGAAATTTCCAAACAATTAATCTGATTATTTCACATTTGTCTTGTGTCGAGCCCATACTCTTGATTAGGTCGTAGTGAGAGGTGAGGCCTTCTTTAACTCCAGTTAGAATTCCACTTGCAACTTGCCGGTATTTAGGTAGATTGTACAGGGTGTAACCTGGAAATTGGTAGTACTTCAGTTTGTCATCCGAAATGTTAGCTTTCATAATTGTGAAAATGTCTACATCATAGGTATGTAGGATTTTCTGTACTTGGAGCTTTTTGTCCACTGGAGGATCTGAAGACGTCGTGATTCGCCCTGACGAGGGCGATTTTTCTTATAGCCTTTTTTAAAGCTAATCATAATAAATCGAAGTCAAAACGAATTCCGAGTGATAGACTTTTTTGCCTTACGAAGATACGTTGTCCAGTGTGCACCACGTGGAGGTAAGTCTGTCGCGCACCCCACCCTAATTACATAGAATTGCTCAGACTTAGAGTGGTCGTAGGGCAAACCCAATTTTTGAAAGTAAACTTATATTTATGTACAATATAGTAATTCGTTAGCTGCAAGTTACATCTCATTGTTGGTGTCTCTATGCGATGTGTAACAAACGTACATGACTTTACGTGTAACGAGATTTATTCCACAATTAACTTCGCCTGATCTCTAGTTATTGAAGTGAATAGACTAGGTAAACGAATAAAACTCTGAAATATATAAAAGATCTGAACTTTTGAACGACTTCGTGATAAGATAGCAAAAAATAATGTTGAGCTCATTTGTTCACTTTGCAATTGAAGATGTTGTTTCCAAGTAAAATGAATATGAACGCCAGTAATTACATTTAAAACTGACTTAAGAACTATGCTTTATGGACACAGACTAAGGAAACGAAAATTGCGTCCGATTTAATAGGAGAAATAATATCGTTTTTTGAGTAGGTTTTTCTCAAGGGGATTCGAGGATACATAGTCGTGAGTCTTGAAAATTCGCCAAACAATAATATGTAGACATAAAAAAATGCATTTAAAATGCAAGCATAGATAGTGTCAATATGCAAGAAAGTTTAACCAAATTTATGTAATTAAAAGATTCGTCACCGACGATTGCTTCCTTTAAAGCTGTTCTTAGTATGGCACTAAAGATTTTTATCCTTTTGGTCAAAATGGTTAGTCTAATTTTGGTTAACATTAATTCACTACTAGTCTAATTTGAATAGCAAAGCATTTTACTTTAGTTTTTAAGAATTTGATATTTGGAAGTTTTCTGAGTCGAAACGGAGCTTGCGATGTATTCTAGTTTAAAAAACATGCCACATTTTATTCCAGAAATACCGTCTTTGCCCTTTTTAGCATTTTGAACCACATGTTAAGGGCCTCGGTAGAAAAAGGAACTCATTGAAGGAACAGGCCCGGCGTGAAGTTTTGCAGATGCGTACAGGAGAATAGTGTCAGATAAAAGAAAGATTGAAGATCACACTTGCAAGATCTGTTTTCTTAACCTCTTTTGGCATTTGGGAGACCAAGAATGCGGGCCCGGCTTTTATTTCGTGTTAATTACACATAGAATGATAGTTAATAGAAGAGTGGTTCTGATTGATTAGTGAGATCAAGAGCTTAGTTCACATAAGTTCACGATAAAACCACCTAGCACCAATAAACCTTATCTAAGTGAGATCATATTTTCAAAGAATCGCCTAACAGTGCAGATTGCTAATTAACATGAGAGTATTTACAAGCATCCACAAAATAATAATTAACGGACAAACTATTCTATAATATATTAATATTGTCTAATTCTGAATTAATATCTCTTCTCTATTTTTCCTCTCAAATTTAATGTTTAAATCATGAGAAGTGGAAGACAGTACAGATATGGCATTATATGCAATCGGATGAGAATAAGACAGACACTAATTTAAGCTATATTTTTGAGATCATGATGACTAAGACAAACGTTCCTGACCCTGAAGACAATAAATGGAACATAAAGGATAACACTGAGACAGTGTCTAATAGATAGAACAGTGTATGTTATTATAATTTGAGTCAATGGAATATATAGTTGGAATTAAAGGAAATTTGAGTTCAAAAAGAAATTAGGCAGTTGAAAGTTAGAGAAACGTCTTAATTCTACTGGATGGCGGTTAAGTATACAAATCTTAATATATCGATTTAGTTGTGATATCATGGGAAATTCTTATAATATAAAGGTAATATGGAATATGATAACTGAGTTTTATTATAAATGCCCTGAACCGTAACTTCACGATAACCTGAAAACTCCCGTCATTTGACTATAGCTCTGCCTAAAATCGACACGAAGCTTTGAAACCAAGAACAAAAGTCTCTTCAAAACTAAATTTAACTGGATATCACATGACAACATATATATATTTGATATGCTTAGGTTATATGCTGATATCCTTCTTTTAATAATTAAGTATATTGTAGTTACATTGTAAAGACTCAATTCAAAATATTTATACACGCGACTTTTCGATGCTCAGACGTCGTATACATTATGTATTAGAACACAATAATATTTGAGTGTTATTTGTGCATACGCATTTTCTCATTTGAAATATAAAGATAAAAATAAAAGTAATAACGTGAGTACATTTATAAAGGTAAAATTTGAATAAAAATTTTTTGTTTTCTCTTATCTATTACATTTAATTTAAATAGCCTTTCTCGCGGATATTCGATTCCCATTGTGGGCTTTGCTTCGTTGTTATATTGACGATCGGGTTCTTCACATTCGTCTTTTACGTTGACAATAATTAATAAATGTCCGAAACGCCGAGTCCTTCTAATAAGAAGCCTGACCAATCCACTGTTCCGGGTAAATTTGTAACTCCTATTTGATCTATATATTTTGGGTTGAATATTAAAGTGTATAAATTCTGAAATTGGTTTTTAAGTAAGACATTTTTTAAAAGACTGAAATTATAATGTTAATTTGTTTTAGAAGCGATTCTCGATGACAATGTAGCTACTTTGAGTAATGATCATAATCAAAGGCATAAACATATCAGGCGTTCTAAAAAAGAACAAGACACCCTTGGCGCACTTCGTATGTTTGTTTTCATTATTTGAATTTGTATTTTTTCATAACTTAATATTTTTGCCTTCTGTATTAGCTTATTTTAAGCATCACAAGAAACATAAAAAGAAGCATGCTGCTAAACGTAAGGCAAATAACACCGAATCAGGCAGCTTTACCGATTTGCCTACTTTGGCTTTTATTTGAATAATTTTCGCACTTTTTCGCTTTGTTTTGAACTATCTTAATCATGCATTTTTATTGAATAGCTTCAGAAATAACCGAAGTACCTCATGTCATGTTTCAACTTGGTGAACAAGAGGAGACAAAACAGCCTCCGGCCTTTGTGGAACTTGACGAGCTTTCCTATGGCGAGTGGAGGGAAGTTGCTAGGTACGACTATCCTTCTTTGCTTTTTATTCAGAATTAAAATTCAAAGATAATGGTGCTATTTAATATAGTTTATTTTTATAAACCGAAACGCGCGCGGTGCTAGAATTTGAGG